ACTAACTACCATTACTACCTTCTAGTAACTCCTGGATTGAAAGGAAAGGAGAGACCTTACCTTACTGCTGTTCACCCTTCTCAGCAAAGCCTAATGCTCACCAAAGCCCACACTTTGAGCCCAACAGCAGCGCTTTGTCATCAAAGCCCCTGTCCAAAATGGCCACTCCCAAATGGCTCTCAATTGGATGGTCTTTCTTCTGTTGAGCACTGGGTCCTCTGCTATCCCCTTATTGTGGTGCGTGCGCTGACTTCTCCCAGAATCCTCCTCAGTTGCTTCTCACTACCACCTTCTGTTGGATGCTCTCCCTTCTGTTGAGCACTCAGTTCTCTGCTACCCCTTTCTCAGTTGTGGTGAGCAAGCTGACTTCACCCAGAATCCTCCTCAGTTGTTTCTCACTGCTGCCCTCTGTTTGGATGCTTCTCCTCCTGTTGAGCACTGGGTCCTTATAACATTATGGAAAAAGGGTGAAAGAAATAGACAAATTACAAATCAGTCAACCTAGCCTCAGTGATGGGAAGATTATTGGAAAAATTTCTGACAGCTTTAATTGTTATTTAGAAACATACAGTTTATTGAACATTGCACTCAGCCCCTCAAGCCCACTCTACCATTCAACTAGAGAATATTGATCTTCTACCTCAACAGCATTTTCCTGCATTATCCCTCATCCCTTGATATCTTCAATACATAGAAATCTATGAATCTCTGCCTTGAATATACTCATTAACTAAGCTTCCACATCCCTATGGAACAAAGAATTTGAAAGAATTTGAGAAATTCCTCCTCATCTCAGTCCTAACTGGTCCTAACTCTTATTCTGTGACAATGCTCTGTAGTTCCAGGCCCACAGCTGGGGGAACAAGTCCTGTAAGAGTGTTGTATATCTTGAGGAGATCACCTCTTATTCATTCTTTGAGAACATAGGCCCAGTCTTCTCAACCTCTCCTCATTGGATAATCTCGCCATTGCAGGAACCAATCTCTGTAATGCCACACTAGTTTTCTTTGATTCTTTTTTGGCATATAGATGTCACTGGCTATCTAGCATTTATTGTCCATCCCTAACTGCCCTTTAGAAAGTGGAGGTGAGCCTCCTTCTGCAGTACCTGTGGTGTAGGTACACCCACAGTGCTGTTCAGAATGAGCCTGGCGAATCTTTGTTGTCTCTATACCAACAATATCTTTCCTGAGGTCAGGAGAGCAAAACTGCACCCAGTTCTCCAAGTACGGTCTAACCAAACTCCTATACAATTGCAGCAAAACTTCACTGCTCCTGTACTCCAACCACTTGCAATAAAGCCAAACATTCCATTAGCCTTCCAAAGAGCTTACCAAACCTACATGTTAACCATCAGTGACATTTTGACAAGGACACCCAGATCCCTCTGTATCTCCACTTTCCAACCTTTTATCATTTAAGAAATATTCTGCGCATCTATTTCTCCCACCAAAGTGGATAACCTCACATTTTTCCACATTACGTTGCATTTGCCATATTGTTGCCCACTCAGGAATGTTTATAAATCCTCCTGAAGCCATTTTCCATCTTCCTTACAACACACGTTCCCACTTAGCTTTGTATCATCCACTACTTTCGAAGTACTACGTTTGGTCCCCAATTCCAACTCATTGATATATGTTGTGAACAGTTGGGGCCAAGGACCGCTCCTTGAAGTATCCCACTCATCACAGCCTGCCATTGTAAGAATGACCCATTTATTCCCACTCCCTGTTTTCTGTGGGTCAACCAATCATTAATGCAGTACCTGACATCTTATTCTGTATGTTTGAATCTTTTTAACCAGCCTCCTGTTAGGAACTTTATCAAAATCCTTCTGCAAGTCCAAGTATACTGTGCCCATCAACTCTCCTTTATCAATTCTGTTACTAACATCTTTTAAAAAAACTCCAACTAGTTCTTAAAACATGATTTCTCATTTGCAAATCCATGCTGACTATGCCTAATCCAATCATTATCATCCGGGAGTCTATTTATCCTGGCACTGAGAATAGATTCTAGCATTCATATAAAGCTAATGGGCCTGTTGTTCCATTTTTTTCCCCTTGCTCTATTATTAAATCAAGTGATTACATTTGTTACATTCCAATCTGCAGGAATCATTCAAGAACCTATTAAATTCAGACAATAATCACCAATGCATCAATTTTCTCTATAGCCACACCCTTCAATACTTTGAGATGTATCAGTTCCTGGGGAAAAATCAATTTTCAGCCCCATTAATTTCTCGCACAGCCTTCCCACTAATGCTAGTTTCCTGCAACTCCTCATTCTCCCAAGTCACTTGGTCCCCGAGCTCTGGGAGATATTCTGCATCTTCCTCGGTGAAAACAGACACAAAGTAATCATTTTGCTTCCCTGCCTTTTCTCTTTTCTCCATTATATATTCTCCTGACTTTGCCCGTAATGGACTCATATTCATTTTTGCCAAACGTTTCCTTTTCATGTACCTATAGAAGCTTTCACTATCCATTTTTATGTTTTTCATTGAATTGCATTCATATTTTATCCCTGTTACCAGTTTTTCAGCCCTCCTTTGCTGTATTCTAAAATCCTCTCAATCCTCCAAATTACTGCTATTTATAGCAATTTTATAAACCTTTTCTTTTAACCTTATACAATCCCGGACTTCCTTTGTTAGCCAGAGTAAACTGACCTTCTTTGATTTTCGCATTTTGAAAGAATGTATAGTTTGCTGTAAGTCTTGTAATAGTCCTTTAAAGATTACCCATTCCTATGTACAGTCAGACCTTGGAATGTATTTCCCCAATCCAGTTCAGCCAGGGAAAGTGCAACTAATGCAGGTAGTCATGTATTTTTAGTGGTATAGGCTCAATGGACCAAAGGGCCTCTTCTACGGCATGGTTCTGTGATTCTATGAACCAATTTTTGTGCCCCATACTTTGATATTTTTTCTTATTCAAATTTAACTTGCTTCAGAAAGAATTGCCTCACTTTCAAACATAATGCAAAATTTTGTCATATTATGGTCACTCAACCCTAAAGGTTTTTTTGCAACAGTACTGTTAATTAGCCCTTTTTCTTTACATAATACTACATCTAAAGTAGCCTGTTCTCTGCAGTTCCTACTATCTCTAGCCTGTTCTCTTGTTGGGTCCTCAGCATACTGCTGAAGAAACCAATCCCTAATTCCCTCCAGAAATGAATCCTTCACTAGCTCTCAGTTGTTTTATCTGGACTACCTACAGATTGAAGTCACTAATGATTACTGCATGCCCATGCTGCATGCTTCTTACAGCTCCTGATTAATACCATGTCCTACAATAGCATTACTATTCGGTGGCCTATAGATAGGTCCAACCAACGTCTTGCTATTTCCCAGCTCCACTCAAACGGATTGTACAGTGTTCTTCTGATCTGAGATCCTCTCTTCCTGATGTACTGATCTTCTTATCAGCACAACTCGGTCTCCTTTTATGGTGAATTCCAGGACATCCACTGAGTGGAGAGCTGTTCCAGGAATAGTGTGTGGTATGATGGAGCTAGGGATGTCATAATGGTGGGATTTGAGTTAATGAGACAAGTTTAGCAGGAAAACCTATGAGGCCAGACAATGGAAATTACTCCAAAAATCTCGATGCAACTCAAACTTAGCCAAAAAAAAGTAAAATTCAGCCCAAAGTATTTTAGTTTCTCTGCTATATTTTTCCCCAATATAAATTCTGCTTTCTCAGCCTGTATTGGGTCCACATTTGTCTTAGTTAATCCTTTTGTTTTTACGTACCTAAGAAAGCTTTTACAGTCCATTATAATGTTTCTCACCAGTTTACTTTCATAGTCTATTTTCCCCTTCTTTAGCTCAGCTAAATTCTTAAATGCCCACAGACCCTCTGGCTTACTACTTCTTGGTTATTTTATAAGACTCCTCCTTTGATGTTATACATTCTTTAATTTTTATTGTTAGACCTGATTGGGCAACTTTGCCTGTCCTCAAACACTCTATATGTGTTTTAAATTGTATGTTAATTCTTTAAATGTTAACCATGAAGACGTAAAATGAATTTATTAAGGGAAGGCTACGTCTGGGAAATGTGGTTAAAGCTTTTTACAAGGTAATCGAGAAGGTTGTGAGGTAACATGCTTGTAGTTTGCAGGGATTTTAGCCAAGTATTTGGTAAGATCCCACATGGCTCACTGGTCAGAAAGTTAAATGGGACCCAAGAGAGAGGGAGTCGTAAACTTGATCCAAAGTAGGCTCGGTGCTGGAAGCAAAGGATAATGATTGATGGGTATTTGTGTGACTGGAAGCTGTTTCCAGTCAAGATCCTCAGAAACTAGTATTGGGTCCCTGCCTCTTTGTGGTGTACATCAATGATTTAGATTTAAATGATAGAGGCAGAACCACTCATATTTTAAAAGTAAAACTGTTTATATGTACGCTTAAGTGCTGTGACCGACTGGGCAATAGACCAAGAGCTGTATTGTGGGATTATACAAAACAGCCTTTTTCCAGCTATAAATATGATGGGCTGAATGGTCTTATTCTGTGCCATAATTTTATACAATTCCATATTCTTTTCAGGTAGATGTAAAAGATCCCCATGGCACTAGCTTGAAGAAGAACAGCACAGTTCCTTCCTGGTTAGCATTTATCCCTCTAGCCAACATCACTAAAGCAGATTGTCTGGTCATTGTGACCTTTCTAGTTGTAAGAGCTTACTGTATGAAAATTAGTTCTCGCATCTGCTACATTACAACAGTGACTACACTTTAGAAGTATTTTGTTGGCTGTAAAGGGCTTTGGGACAGCCTGACATTGGGTAAGGTGTTATGTGTATATGTCTTCCTTTCTCATTTAACGAAGGATGTGAAATGTATAATAAATTCATAAAAACAATCACTAAATCTGAAAGATCTTTCAGCTTTTAACAAGCCCTTCCATTCCAATGACTCTAACCAGTGTGCACTTCCATTTTTCATACCTAGGTCAATAAAACTGTTTTTTATTTATTTACAAGAAACCAAAAGGTGAATCTAAGCCTGCACCATTGTCAACAGAGGCTGAGACGCTAGCCTATTTTGATTCGGTCATCGCAGGCTTTGATCAGGAAAACAATCTCAAAGTTCATCCAGCAGATGACCCGCACATTGATGTGGATTTTGTTAGTAAGTACATCTTGATTAAAAACAAAAGCTGCACTACTATCCTTCAAAGCTCTATTAACATGACGATCCAAGAGTTGCACAATGGATCTACACCTTGGCTTAAATATATTAACATTAAATATTAATGAATAGTGAAATGTTAACTCTTTACATTGTGCTATGATGCTAACATAGAAACAAGGAAGAGTTTGATCTATAAAAGTGCCACCATGCAATATACTTGGAAACAATAATGTTTTCACATAGAATCCCTACAGTGTGGAAACGGCCCATTTGGCCCAACAAGTCCACACTGGCCCTCTGAAGAGCATGCCACCCAGACCCATCTCCCTACCCTTTCCCTGTAACCCTGCATTTCCCAAGGCTAATGCACGTAATCAACACATCCCTGGACACTACAGGTAATTTAGCATGGCCAATCCACCTAGCCTGCACATCTTTGGACTGTGGGAGGAAACCGGAGCACCCGGAGGAAACCCACGCAGACACGAGGAGAATGTGCAAACTCCACATAGAAGGTTGCCCGAGGGTGGAATCAAACCCAGGTCCCTGGCGCTGTGAGGCAGCAGTGCTAACCATATTTAGGCAAAATTGATCTATAAACATTGTCTGGATCTGAGACCTTTTTATTTAATACTCTTACCTTGTCTGATTGTTTCACTTTCAGATTTGACTCTTGCAGTGATGGCCTCAGTTATAATTATATTGCGGTACTTGAGGGCGTAGATATCAGGGCAACTTGATAATCCACTTGATGTCAGGGAAACATGGCAGCACAAATGGAAACGGTCAACTGGTTTGATGTGAATCTGACCCATGTTTTATGGTGGTGAAGACAATGGGTTGGTTTGGAGATCTCTAGTAGTCAGGAAGAGCCAGGGGTATTTAACTGGATCTTCTGGTTTGCTGGGAAGAATTCCCGGGGCTGTTGCCCAGGCTGCCAACACGTGCTTTGGGGTTGCCATGGTGATACTGCCATGCTCACACACTGCTTGTGATGTTCCTTTATGCATGTGAGTGGTCTCACAGCTACAACCTTGTTAGCTGAGAGCGCTAAGGAGTTTGCAATCAGGCAAGATAAAGTCAAGATGCAGATTAGGCAATGCAATCTGAATGACCTACTGTTGTTCCAGTGTTTATTCATGTCTTTGTTGTCTTAGACTTGAAAATTTTAATGCTCTCCTGGCTCACCTCTTACTTTATGACCTCCAAACCCTCTGAGGCCTGTACCCTAAGTTGCACCAAATCTGATTCATCCCTGGACTCATCAGTCTATATTGGTTACTTTCTGGCAGTGCCTCAACTTTAAAATTCTCAAGCTTGATTTCCAATCCTTGAATGGATCATTCTCTCCCTATCTCTGAAGCCTTCTGACAGCACACAATCCTCCAATATATCTACACTCCTCCAGTTCTGGCCCCTTGCAAACCCCCAGCTTTCATTACTCCAGCATTGACCGTCGTGTTTTCAGCTGTATAGGCCCTGGAAATCCCACCTGAAAACTGTCCATCTCTCTCTCTCTTCCTGTAAGATGCTACTTAAAGTCTAGCCTTTTAACCAACATTTTAGTCATCTGGTTTAATAACTCTTTATGCGGCTAAGTCAATTTTTACCTAATTACCCTCTAGTGAAGTGAGCTAAGGCAACGTACTAGGTTAAAATTGCTCTATAAATGTACAGTTTGTCTCTAATGTAACAGACAATTGTATGTTAATGACAAATCAATATGTTTCCTTTTCTATCTGTGTGCCAAGTTGCCACGAGCACGAGTGAACACAGTTTACATTCGAACTGGATCCTTAAGACACCAAGAAGATATTCTATTGATATTGGGCATTTGACAAAGACTGATCACTTACCTCGGAGACACAGTGATTGGATAGGATCGAGCCTCAAAAGGTTTGAGCGACGCCCAATGTACCTCCCGAAATTAGTCGAGAGCCCAATTCACACATTGCGATTTAAACCGAGAGCTCGTGGTGAGGATGATGAGTTCTAGGTCACTACAAAGTGTCAAATGGTTTGAAACTTGGAAGCTCCTGACCACAAGTTTCCACTTCATCCTTCAAAATGCTTTGTTTCACATCAAAAACACCCTTGCAACCATTGATGATTATATTTTGAAATCATGTTTTCTTCAACAACTGGTGACACTTATTTACTTGTACAACTCGTCCTATTTGAATGGCTTTCTCAGAGACTGGGAAGCCTTTACTGTGTATCTAGAGGTCTGAATCCTGAATACGCTCCTTCTATGGGAAGGAGTTTTTATTCCAACAGGGTGGAGGTATCTTCTTGTTTCACCTTTCAGACTGATACATTTAACCAGCCCTCATCTCATCTTATATAGAGTGAGAAATGCAATACAGCCCATTCAGGCCTGGGTATTGTGGGAAGGGCTCAGAGAGAACTCACTACTGAATTGGAAGTGATAGTGATGACAAGCAAAGAGGGATTTGTATGTCACCAATGAACACCTCTAACTGCTTACATTCTAATGGGTATGAGGTGTTTAATGCTGATGTTCCAGTCCTCAGAACACTGGTTGAGCCCCTAAGGTTGAAAATACGTTTACATGTGAAGCTCACCCACACACAAGTTCCCCTCTGGCAATTTCTTCTTCTTACCACAGATGACAACAACAATTTGCAGTTATATAGCTCCTTCGATCTGGAAAAATGTCCTAAGCTGCTTCACAGAGGCAGTATCGGATAAAATATGAAATCAAACTACCTTAGGAAAGCAATCAAAAACTTGATCAACTGTGAAAATTTCAACAAGAATCTTGAAGGAGGATGGAGGGAAATGCAGGACCTGAATTCCTGAGTTTAGGGCCAGGCAGCTAAGGGCACATTTGCCAATGTTGAAGTGATTAAAAGTGATGCACAAAAGGTCAGCTTTGGAGAAGTGCCGACATCTGGAAGAATGGTGGAGTTGGAGGAGATGACAGACATACTGGGCGGAAAGCTATGGAGAAATTTGAAATTAAGATGAGAATTTTTACGTTGCCAGAGTGGGAAGCCATGATGGTCAGCAAGCATCAAAGCAAACATTAACCACTCCATGGGCTGTGGGCACAAATAGCCAGGTGGAAGTAAACAAAGCTGCCATAGTCCTACAATCGCCCTGGAGTTGTTTAACCTGAGGGTCATCACGCCTCAGGCAAGGGGAGAAGTTGAGAAAGAGAGTAATACTTAATGGTAATCTCAGCCAGTGCTAGAATTGAGCCCACACTGTTGGCATCACCCTGCATCATTAATCATCATCCAGCCAACTGAACTAACCAATCCTCACAATTAACAATATAGAGAGAAACAGAAGTAGTGGGTAGTCACACAACATTTTATTGGCTATTTCAATTCAGAACAATGAGTAAGAACATGTCAAATTGGCCTTCCTGGTAAATTCTGCTGCCTGAAGAATGTTTTGTGAGTTTTTCTTGACATTAAATAAGTTGGAGTGTTCACCCTTTCTATAAAATAGGACTGAAAGGATCAGTGCAATGGGTTTGGTATGATGATATTTGGTAGCTTCCAGTGAACACTGGAACATCTCATGGACTTAAATATCCAAGGTGAGAGTGTGATTGAGTGAGTCTGGTGGACAAGGCCATGATTTTGTACAGTTACAGTTATTGAATTCACATACAAAGTAATACCAAGCAATCCTAATAGCTGTTGATCCCCCAATCTCTCACATTAACTCTGCAAAAGTTTCAAACACACCTACACTTCTCCACAAGGAATAGTCCCAATACCTTCAGCTCATTTCATGAGAATATTCTTGCTGAATGTTCTACCTCCATCGCATGAAAATGGTACGTTCTGTCACATGGAAGTTCTTCAGTTGGGAATTTGCCCAAGAAAATGTTGACCAGTTCACTTGAAAGATACTGAAGCCAATTAATCATTCACACTAGGATACAAACTGATCTGTCCTTATTCAGTTTGATTCGTGATAGTGAATGTCACGCCAATATTTGTTGTCTATCCCAAGTGTAATCAAATAGCTTGCTTCAGAGGGCAGTATTAACCAAACATTGGAGTCACATAAAGGTCAGATCAAACTTCTATCCCTTAAGGATGAACTTGGATCCGTGGAGTTTTAAGGATAACTATACAGCTTTATGGTCATTTTCACTGTCACCCCAACCCCAACCCATTGTGATTGAACGTCAGGAAGCCCCTAAAATGAAAGTGGTGACATGTTCATTGTTGTCCTGCCCACCCTGATCTATAGCACCCTGGACAGGTAGAATGTCTGCCCTCAGCTGACTTCCTCATGTGGCCAAATTCCACCCACTTCAGAATCTCATTCTGCCTCCGAAGGCAGAAGGTCTGCAGGCAGGCAGGAAAGAGGACATACTCACTTCTGGCAGTCTTCTGTGCCCATCAGATGCATACACCCTCAAAATCACACCACCTCCTGCTACCTCCTCACCCTGACCCCATGCTGGGATCTGCCCCGGCAGGCTTGACCAAAATCCCTGGCCTGTTTCAAGTTGGGGATCGATTGCTGTTCTTTTTCCTGGATTGCATGTTCCAACAAAGGCCACAACTCAGCAACGGTGCTGTTTGGACTGCTGAGCTTAAAGCCCAGCTCTGCGCAAAATTCGGAGACAACATTAACCACAAAGCTGGTGAGAACTGAGCTGTTTATTCTCACCAGTCACATTGCACTCAGTTGAATGATGTAACTCCCCAGACTGTGTTCGGAAACAGTGACTTTTTTTTTGCAAATAAAAAAAGTCATCATTTTGTTCATGACTTTTGGATGGGATTTTAAGATTTTTGTCCTGCAAATCCATTTATTTAATGAAAACGTTGGTAGCTCACTGGGACGGATGTCCTCCCAGATTTTGGTGAGTGGGGAGTTGGAGTCCCACTGAGGTGAGTAGAGTCCCACTTGAAATGAATTAGAGCTGCCTCCAGCGTATAATCGCAGTGGGTAGATAGACTTCTGGTCAGTCCAACGGCGACAGAGACATATAATCCATTGCTGCTGTAAAATCTATCCCAGGCCTCTGGATTGGTAAATCTGGAGCACAGCCACTGTACAACTGTATATGACCATATTTTGACTATACTACTGTAGCCCAAAACGCTGCTGTACCCATTTTAAACTCTATTTTACACCAAGAATGAATGCACAGTTTACAATACATCACACTTTGCACTCTCAGTGTGCTCAGCAAAACCAAATGGTGTCACTTTGTAGTTTCCAAAAATCCAAAAATCTACCCTTGACCATGAAGGATTGGGGTTATAATGCAGTTTGTTTGTTTGTTACAGACCGGTTCCAGTAGAAATTGGCAAAACTCTCTTGAGAATAAATTCTCATTGTTTCCTAAGGCTGTGGTTTGGTTGATTGCACTCTTAGCTCACAATGTTGTGGGGCAGAGACTTGAACACAACTTTAGGTTAACTCCAGTATTACACTGAGAACATGCTGCATGCCTGGAGGCACTGGGCTCAGACATTAAATCTCATTGATCTTCTCTCCTGGATATTAAGAATTCCTGGCACTACCCCGAAAGAGCAGGGGAGTTCTCAGATGTCCTGATCATCATTTATTCCACGACCAAGAAGAATGAAACAGATGATCTGTTCGCTATCAGGCCAGTGTTTGACGGATCAGATTCACATTACATTACAACAATGATGACATTTCCAAAATGGGGTATCGTATGCCAACACACTGGAGTTGATTCTACTGATATCATTATTGTGTGTGGACACTGCACTGGAACTAGAACAGGAAGTGATGCATCCATTGATGCTGTCTCTGCATTGTCTCTTTCTTCTCCGTTCCCCTTGCAACATGCGTCCTGCCCTCTTCACTGCATCCCTCTCTGTCCCATTCTTTGTTCCCCTCACACCACATTCTCTGTTCTCCTCACTACCCTGTTCTATGTTCCCCTCACCACCCTGTTCTCTGTTCCTCTCACTACTGTGTTCCCCTCACTGCCCTGTTCTGTGTTCCCCTCACTACTGTGTTCCCCCTCACTACCCTGTTCTCTGTTCCCGTCACTACTCTGTTCTGTGTTCCCTTCACTGCCACATTCTCTGTTCCCCTCACTGACCCATTCTCTGTTCCTCTCACTACCCTGTTCTCTGTTCCCCTCACTACCCTGTTCTGTGTTCCCCTCGCTGCCCTGTTCTGTGTTCCCCTCGCTGCCCTGTTCTGTGTTCCCCTCACTACCCTGTCTGTGTTCCCCTCAATACCCTGTTCTCTGTTCCTCTCACTGCTATGTTCCCCTCACTGCCCTGTCCTGTGTTTCCCTCACTACCCTGTTCTGTGTTCCCCTCACTACCCTGTTCTCTGTTTCCCTCACTACTCTGTTCTGAGTTCCCCTCACTAGCCTGTTCTGTGTTCCCCTCACTAGCCTGTTCTGAGTTCCCCTCACTAGCCTGTTCTGTGTTCCCCTCACTACCCTGCTCTGTGTTCCTCTTGCTGCCCTGTTCTGTGTTCCCCTTGCTGCCCTGTTCTGTGTACCCCACACTGCCCAACTTGTTCTCTCCATCAAAAACAAAAGCTTAATTGGCTGTCAAATGCATGACAACAGCTTGAGGTCACGGATAGTGCCATAAAAAAAACAAGTTATTTCTTTCTTTAAAGACATGAACAACTATAAAATTGGTTGGATTTTCACTACAGCAAATGAGATAAAATATGAATGGGAACTATGTTGGGTTATTCTTTACTTTTGATGGGGGTGACTGGAGGTATTCCAAAGTTCATCCCCACTAAATTAGATCATCTGGACATAGCCAGTGGTGGAGATTTGGGTGATTGAGGATACGTGCCATTCTATTTAATTTGACAGAGTTTCCTTTACAGAAGAGGAATTCCAGACATCCCATCCCAGTTCTGCACTGCCTGTAGACCTGTGCAGTGGGTACAGGCACAGAGACTTGCTCCTTTACACTTCAGCAAGGATCCATCGTTGATGTCAGTAGCATGTGCAAAGACTTCCTGCAGAGATTGATTCCACTGGAT